AGAATGAACCACGCTAAACGATCGTAAAAAAAAAAATATTTATATATATATATATATATATATATATATATATATATATATATACATATTTTGCTTTAATTTAGTGAATTAAAGCAGGAATGCAAATATTTTTCGATTTCATGGCAATGATGAATAATGTATCGATGTAGTATAAAGGTAGTGAAGTGCACATGGTAATTCTCTCGATGAATATCGATATCTTTTTGTTATTGAAAATATTTTCTATTTGTTGAGAGATGACGGTGTATATATATGGTTGTGGTGGGGAGGGAGAAAATACTCTGGAAATAGAGAATTATTTTTCAAAATTCGAGTGGACTACTTCTGAACAGTTGAACTATCTCTTCGTAGACATTTCTATTCTTTCCTACTTCTCCCTACTACTTTAATCTTTCGAAAAACGGATAATTTATGACCGTGGTCCTTAGAAAAAAGGAAAAAAAAAGAAAAAAATGTAGCGACGTACTTTCGAGGTTTCTCACGACTCTCACAAGATAGTTTCAGTCGAAGAAAGTAAGTACGTCCTTGAAAATGCTCGTAATGGGCTAACTGTAGTGGCCAGACGGAAGATTACTTTCTATTTTGCCGTAGGTAATTCATGGCATATGCATTTTTTTTTTCCTTTTTTTCTTTCGTTCTTTCATCCGACTAAAGATGAAACGTGAAGAAGAACAACGATATTTTTCCGACCTGGCATTTCGATGATTCTCGAGTAATGAAATCCTGTAAAGTACTAACGACAACATCGAGCCGCATTATTTATTGGCCATATTTCACAAAGCACCCGAGTTTATTAGGACAAATGAACATTCTCGCGTTACGCTTTCAGAAAAACAGAAACAGAGGCGGCAAGCGGCACGAAAAAATAAATGTAACGCCTGTACAACAGGCACGCACAATTCAATTTGGCAACAAACGTGAAATATTTAACGGATGCCAATCGACGTCTGTAAACTATTTCGTATACTCGATTTTTTACTCCAAATTTATGGGCATAGGAAGTGAAACGTCGATATATACGTGGAGATCTATTTTCAAACGTTTGCATTTCGCGTATCTATACTCGCTAAACGTTTTTCGCGTATACACGCCACCGCCCACGCGCCGATGGACCCGATGCGAACCTAGACGCGCTGAGATTTAAAGCTACACCATCTTACAGATACTACTTTTTATACATAGCATATATACATAGCACAACATACTGGCCGAACGATCGCCACGTCACGACCTTCGAAAGCGTACACAATTTTGTAATGTTGTGCCGTCCCTGTCACGGAATAAATCAAATTATAAATATTAGCATTCCTAAATAACGAATTAAAAGGAAAAGAAAATCTATAGGTAAATATTTGATCGTAATAAATAGTAAGCTCTGGATTAGTTAAGTACATAGAACTATTCTTGATAAGCGTTGATAATAATATATTTCGATCGACTTGAGAAAAAACTTCTCTTTCTTCAAAGAATAAATTATAAAAAAAATCGTACGAACGTATATCAACACGTCACAAGCTTCAAAAGGATAGATAAGTTCATAACACTGTGATGTTACAAAATAAATAAAATTATAAATATTAGCGTTTGTAAATAAGGAATTAAAACGAAAAGAAAATCTATAGGTAAATATTTGAAATAGTAAGTAATAAATACGATACATACAAGAACTATCGTTGATGAGCGTATATAACGAAATAATTCAAACTGCTTAAAAATATACTTTCTCCAAAAAATAAACAACAAAAAATCGTGTACGGATGTATCGACGTGTAATCGTTGACAATTTTATAACTCTGTAATGTCGTCTCTGTCATTGGAAAAAATAAAACTAGAAATATTAATGTTTATAAACAACGAATAGAACGGAAAGGAAATCTACTATATATCGTAATAAGTATTACACGTCTAAATTGGATTAATAAATATAATACAAATATAGTAAATACGTAGTCGATAAGCGTATATAACGAAATATTTTAATCGATAATTTGAGAAACGTCGTTTTCTCGAAGGAACGAATAAGCAATAAAAAAAAAAAAAAAGAAAGAAAGAAAGAAAGAAATAAAAAAAAGAAAACATTCTTTAACTCGTCATCTCTTCGAGATTTCGTGTCGACGCGTTCTAATCTCGGACGGTCCCGTATTTGAACCGGAATCGGGCAAAATCGGTGACGGATTTAAACGATTATAAGTATGCATAGAATTATAGATGAACGATGTCGTACGAAGAGAGCTCGGACGTGCGATAGACGGTGACGACGATATCTGTCGGACTAGAGAGAACCGTAGAAAGTGGTGCGTTGTGGTACTTTATTTTACGAGATGCACTTATTTCGGATCCCGCAGGGAGACTACTACTACACTATAGAGAAACGAAATGTTCCACAAGGAAGATACTAGGCTAGGGAGGGGTTTGAGACGAGGAGGGTCGGCTTGTGCACTGACCCACATTGTCGTTGCATAACGGGACGCCTTGCGAAATATTCGCAAGTTTAGTACCTCCGGGCGCGTCCACCGACGACGCGGCAACGCTCGTAAAAGGAAACCCCGCGGCTATACCCCCTCTCTTCTACGTGACAGAAGATACTCTCGCTCGCGAATCCAACCTCCCCCAAGTCGATCTCTGACCGCACGCACGCACGCACGCACGCACGCACGTC